CACACACACACACACACACACACACACACACACACACACACACACACACACACACACACACACACACACACACACACACACACACTGACACGAATACCTTGGAAAAGACCCCTGGCTTGTTCTAGCCTCTGAGGTGCTGATAAATCAGGGTGAGGTTGTGTGGTCTTTTTTTGATGCAGCACACAGTTGTAATCTTCACCTTTCACTTTCTGCCCACAATGCCCTGGGGCAGGGTGTGTGTGAGTCTGAGAGTGTGGCACAGAGAGAGAAAGCAGGGCGGAAGTAGGGGGTAGCTACAGAGCGAGGTTTCTATACTTTCTCTCACTCTTTCAATGTGTTAGTGCATTTTCAGGTGGGACGCAGAGGTGGGAAAAGAAAGGGTGTGTGTGTGTGAGTGAAAGATGGAGAGAGAGAAATGGTCTTGAGTTGCAAATGGGAAGAGGACCCGCTGCAGGATACCCTACAGGCAACTAATATACACACACACACACACACACACACACACACACACACACACACACACACACACACACACACACACACACACACACACAAATAGAGGGCGAGGGGGAGGGAATAGATAGAGAGGAAGGATTGAAGGCCTGGGGGCAAAACGCTTACCCCACCCGAGTGACTGACTGATACAGCTAATAAACTTTCATTTAAGCTAATGTTCTCTTCTTCCTGTTTCCTCCCTCCTTCCTTACCTTTTTTCTCTTTGCTCTCTATTTTCCACTCTTTATTTTTTCTGTCGTGCTCCAGAGGAAGGGTGAATCCGAGCAATCGATGCGGGCCGTCCACCAGCCGGAAGCCCAGTTGGCCCAACGAAACACCACTCAATCAGTCTGAGCAGCAACACAAAGGGGAGGCTGCTGGCGAGCACCAGAGGTACACACACACTCTCCACACACAGCAGCAGATCCTGGACCCAAACTCATTTCATAAATCATACAAACACCCCGTGCACCAGCAGTAAATGTTATTTACTGGGTTTTATATATCAAAACAAACCCCGACCAACAACACCAAGTATCGTCTTTAAAATAGCACAGGAAGCTCTCGCCTCCTCGCCACTGCCAGCCCTTCTATCTTTGAATACTCTAGGTGCTGTGCTAATTAAACTTTCAGACAAAGCAACTGCCGTGTTCCTCTGGTATTTATAGCAGCTCAATGGGCTTTGTCTGAGACCACATTTGGCTGACTGTGAACATGTGTGGTTACTCCTGTGCTGGATGCAGTATCAGTTGACAGTGGACATGCTCTGTGCAAAAGCTCTGCACCAAGTTGCTCTCACCATTTCGATTGCAGATGCAGTTTGAGTCTTTGTGCAGTGAGTGAATCTTAGGATGTGTGTGGTGGTTAGTGGTCGTCATGATGTGCGCCTTTGTGTCTTCAGTTAATCTGTTTTTAAGTGCGTGGTGCAAATGGGTTCCTTCTCTTTGTCAGCTAATCAGAAAAGGCTTTCTTTTCAAAAGACCAATACCTTGCTTCACACAATACAAACATTTGCCAGAAAAGTCTTTTAACATCATTGTCTAGAAAATATTTTTTTTTGTTTAAAGCTTTGCTGTTTTTCTCCCAGAGGTGAAAAGTGTTTTTTAGTGCTGCAATTAACAAACCCATGGTAGAGAAAATAGTGACATCATAATTTCCCAGACCCCAGAGTAATGTCTTCAAAGAGTTGTTTTGTTCTCCAGTCCAAAGCAGCCCAAAGCTACTCTATATACAATAATACATGAGAGAGAAAGTCAGAAACTTGAAGGGAAAACATCGGCTGCCAAGCGCCCTGGTGACACAGTGTGCCCAATTAAACCGATGTTCCCTTTGCATTGTAATAAAGTATTTATAGACACTGTACTCTACAGTAATGTTATCTGGTGTAACATCTTCATTAAAAGCTAATCTTGGCCATTTTAAAGTTCAACATTCTTTTTGTCAAAAGGGGGAGCTTAAACACAATTAACATTGATTTCCCACCTTAATCTGATAATAATTGGTTCTTCGAGACCCACCTCGTTCTACGATTGACTATGAGAGTCTAAACAACAACATCCTGAGCCTCACTTATTCAAATCATCTCTTCATGTGCCACAAGTCAGGATCCATTAAAACAGATTAGGCCTCAACGGACAATAATCCGCAGCAAATCAGGGTCATCAGATGGCAGGGACAGTCTGAGGAGAGTCCCTCTGCACATGCTCTCTGCGCAGAAGGACAGCGGAGGCGTGTTGTCAGGCCACTGGACGGCTCACTCCTGTCAAGGACCTTTGGTAGCTTTTGATACGTGAAGTGTTTGATCTGCTGAGTGCACTCAAGTTAAATCACCTTGCTGCCCTACGTTATCCACGGAACTACACCCTTGCTAATGATTCTTAAAGTAGAGAAGAGATCTCCTGGGTTTGAATAAATGTGGTTTTTTTTATGTACAGCATTTCTGCATATAGATTTCTTCCCTGCATCCTTCATGTTTAGCTCATGGCAACCTGAATCTATATCGGTGCAACCCTGCTGTTGGCTCATCTTTCTAAAAGTGTTGGCAAGTTTATTTATGTAGCTATTGAATCAAACATTGAAAGTATTAAAGGGGCATTTTAATGCAAATGTGCCTGTTTACTTCTTTTCACCCTCTGTCTAAAACCAGAGCCCAGTCGACTCTGATTGGTTAGCTGCCCAGCTCTGTTATGATTAGTGAACCGCTTGGAGATGTCCCGCCCCTTAGCCTATCACGTACAATGAGGTAGTAGCGCTTGCCAGTAGAAATGCGAGTGGTACGTAGTGATGTCACTATGTTCCTGAAGTAAACAAAGTAGTCCAATGGAGGCGTTTCAGACAGGGTGGGAGTGTCTGGGAGAAAACTCTGGGATTTCATTCTTTGCAGACCCTTTACATGCACACAAAACGCTGAACATCAACGCTGCTTCTCCATGTTTAGTTTTCACTCTGAGGTCAGAAAGCAAACAGTCCAAGACGACCTGAAGCACCTTGTACAAGTTTGCGAGGCAGACAGTCGTAGTTTTTTTTATAATAAGACAAGCAATAACAATAAATCCTACAGGCTAATCACCCGCTCGCCACTCTTCTTCTGTCCCGACCAAACCCAGAGCGATGCGGCATTACCTCGCTGCCGCCTTCAATTACGCCATTCATCATGCGTCTTATCTGCCTGCGGTTTGATTGAGTGTGCAATGGGTGGCGTCGCTAACATCGAAATCTCCACACCGACAAGTGTGTGTGTGTGTGTGTGTGTGTGTGTGTGTGTGTGTGTGTGTGTGTGTGTGTGTGTGTGTGTGTGTGTGTGTGTGTGTGTGTGTGTGTGTGTGTGTGTGTCAGATCTACAGGAGTGTATAAATCAAACCAGATGATCGTGCCCCCACTCTGATCCGCTCTGTCTCGGCGAGTACATTTCTCTTTCTCCCCCACCTATACTGTCCCTGTACTTCCTTCCTTACCTCCTTCCTTACCTCCTTCCCGCCCTCTTTCTCCCCTCCTCCTCCTCCTCCTCCTCCTCCTCTTCTTCTTCTCTGGAACAGATTTGTCTGGGGGCCCCTGTCTAATCTCCAGCAGTGCCGGGTGTTGAGAGACGGGCGACACATTTTAATAAGCAACTGGGCGCTGTAATTTAGCGGCCTGGGAGGGAGATTAGGCTGATTGATGCCGGGCTCGTCTAATGGTCCAGCCTACGGCTCCCGGCCCAAATTGGTGGTAATGAAAGTTTTGTGCAAATTGAGATGAAGGAAAATACGGCATCCTCCCATCTTCCCTCACTCTCTCTATCTTCATTCAATCGCTGTATTCCTCTCACTGTTTCCCTGTTCATTTTCTCCTCTGCTCTCAATCTTTTTGACAAGGTGCGTCTTTCTCTCCATCTCCGTCCCTCACATCCTCCCCTCTTTCTTTCCTTTATCTGTTTCCACTTCAGACTCTTTCTCCATCTTCCTGCTTCATGTCCACCACTCTTCGCCTCTTTACTAAAAATCGATTTGTCCCTCATCTGCTGCCTCTTTCTTCCTCCTACTGAGTCGCTTTCTGTCCTTATTTAACTCCATCTCCTAGGTTATTTTCTTTTACTCACACCCTCCTTTGCTCCCGCCCTGCTCTTTCTTGCGGGAGATTTATGTGTGTGTTTGTGTGTGTGTGTGTTTGTGCAGATGGGTCGGGAGGTGTCGTCTAAGTTGCTCCTGTGTTGTCAGGACAAATTGCATCTAGATGTAGAGAGAGATGGTGCGACAAGCTGATGAGTGTCCACTTCCACCTTTCCATGTGTCTGTTTCTCTTTCTCTTTCTCTCCCTTCTTTTTCTCTTCATCCAACCAAATCACTTTCAGATGGCCTGCCACTCTGTCAGACTCCTTCTGCCGTGCATTATTAGGCCGTGCAGATTCCCAGGCCACTTTTCAGAATAAAGCAAAAGCGTGTCAAGCTAGCAAACTCTGCCTTATTTCAGTTATTTGAAAGTGACTAATTTCAGAAAGTTAGACCAAGCAGAATTCTAGCTTAGTTATTTTACAGTTGGTTAGCTGATGAGCATTACTTTTAGCAGTTTTCTTTTAATTAAAAGCTTCTTGAAATGAGTGCAAGCTACAGAAACACACAATGTGTCAGTGGTGAAAGCAGTATTGAGATCCTGTACTTATATAACATTTTCCCTGTAAACATATTCTGTTTAAAGTAAGAATACTGCATTGAGAATGTACTGTAGTAAAAGTATGATCCGTAAAATGTACTAGGAGACAAGTAGTCCGAAAAGTGCAGAAAACATCTAAAAATTATAAAGAAATGAATGGAAATATTTAAAAGGAGAAGCAGCAATCTTCCCATTTGAGGAGCTGGATGTGTAAAAAAAACATCTTGCAAAACATCACATTTTAAAGGTCTTAGTTTTGGTTGTGTGTGTGAATATCAGAATCTATAAAGTAACTAATGCTTCATAGTAAATGTAGTGAAACATATTTATATTAATATTGCAGTGGAGTAGAAGTGTCTAGTGCTGGGGTGTCAAACTCAAGGCCCGGGGGCCAAATCCGGCCTGCGACTTCATTTTATGTGGCCCTTGAGAGCTTGCAAAGAATATAATATGTTTATTATACAGTTACATGCTGCTTTACAGAAGCACGTTGCCCATAAACTACATATCCCACAATGCATCTGAAATTTGACTTTTTCAAAATGTAATTTTTTCCCCCCAAAATGTCACTTTTTTTTCCTCCAGAATTTCGTTTTTCTTTTTAAATCATTTTGTGACATTCTTACTGAAGAGACTTGCAATTATTTGCCCTATACTTCCGCTTTGAGACGTAGTTAATTATGAAGTTATTACCCTATCCGATAATAATCCAATGCAGAGTAATATAAAACATTATTTTATATATATTAAATATTTGATATGTATTTTTATATAGTCTTAAAGTTACAACCGGCCCTTTGAGTGCAACCATAATGCTGATGTGGCCCGTGATGAAATTGAGTTTGACACCCCTGGTCTAGTGGCTTCAACATTGTCTTGTACTCCAGTACTCAAATGTACTTTCTTACTTTCCACCACTGCATTGTATCACCAGATACTCTGATGTTGAGGGGGCAGCACTGATCCAGTAATAGAAAAGGTCAGTAGGCTGTGTTACACTGAATTTCCAGGCTGTTGTAAAATACCCTGGGAATGGATGCAATAAGTAAACTTGCAGGAATTCCTTCCTCTCGAGGAGTTCCACTTGTGATGTGTGTAGTGCGTACATGATTGTGTGTATTTGCCGCATCTATACAGTCCCGTATTTCCCATTGTGAGCGGCTGTGTGTAAACCAGCTATCAGTCTCCCATTCACGACTGTCTTCAGGCCCTTTCAGTCCCTTTTCTCTTAACTCCCACACAGCTCTCTACTCCGGGTGTTTTAT